TATCGTTTTTAGCATCTTTACTTCTCTATTTTAATAATAAGACAAATGAATTTTATTTTAAATAAAGAGAATTTGTAACAAAATGTATCATTAAATAATAGAAATGTATTAAAAAATTTCAAAAACGCAATACTATTATTTACAGTATTAAAATCCGATTAGCTATTCCTCGGTAGCTACTGATGCTTAATATCTAAACTTTACTATGAATTTGCGTACGTACAAAACAAATGACAGGCGTTTTTTTTAAATTTTATTCTTTATTTTTTTCACAAGGAAACACCCCAAGAAAACAGTAAGAACAATGCTCTTCGCAACATTAAAATATCAATTTAATTGGAATTCTAAACACGATTGCTCTTATTATTTTGTTGCCAATGCAACTGGAACACGTTTCTTAGTATCGAAATTTAATATGTTAAGGTAGTACTATACCGTAGAACTGTAACTGCAGGTCTCTATAAGAGTAAGTAATTTTTTAATTGTGAGAGTATTTTAAGTATAAGATATGGAATAGAAGAAAAAGTACTATAAATGTACAATGCTCTTTTGTAGAGTATTAAAGTTCGAATTAAAAATATAGTAGAATTAAGAATATAGTAAAATAACAGTAGTTTTATATAGTAAAAAAAATAGAAGTAGAATATAGTAAAATACTTTTTAGTTGAACGATTATTTTAAAGGTACGATATTGAATAGAAAAAAAAGTGATATAAAAGTACAATACACTTTTGTAAAGTAGCAAAGTACGAATGAAAAGTAAGAATATAGTAAAATAATAGTATTATATAGTAAAATAATAGAAGTAGAATAGAGTACAGTTATTTTTTAGTTGTAAGAGGTAATATCTTACCTCTTAAGCATAAGATATTGAATAGATGAAAAAGTACTATAGATGTACAATACTTTTTTGTAGAGTATTTAAGTACGAAAAAGTATTATACAATGGAATAAAGAATATCGTAAAATAGTATTGTATAGTAAAGTAATAGAAAAGGAATAAAGTACGAATTATGGAATTGAAGTATGGAAATTAAAGAATTTATTGAGTATTTAATATACACATGGCGAGCAAAAAAATATTGTTACAACAATAAAATTGATTGTAAAATCACTCAAAAACTAAATTGGGAAAATAAAATCGCAATTATGATTTGATCCTTTATTACCCTTTAACTTTAGTCTATAATATTTAACTGTTAGAATAAGTATTATAAAGAAAAGAATCTAATTACATATTATTTAATGCTTAAAAATTTTATTTATCAATTGTATAATCTGGAAATAAATAAGCTTCAAGTAATCAATTATGAGTTTCTCCAAGAAAATAAATAATATTCGCTTTCTTTTTTAAACGAAAAAAAAAAAAAAACTACAATGTCACATGCAACTCTGCTAAAGATGAAGATTCCGATAACAAACTCAGCGGCAAAAGATCTCATTTTCTTCCTTTAAGACCCTGGAGGGCAGGGACAAATTTTGAACAAAATTTATCGAACTTTCTTCTTTCTTCAACCCCTGAAGGACCATCATTCACAGCAGGTTTACCGACAGGAAAGGAGAAAAAAATGGTGGCAAAAGTTGAAATTATATAAATAAAATAAGTAAAATAAATAAAAAAAGAGTGAGTGAGCAGGGGAGTAACGTCTTCCGATGAGCATGTGTGGTGACAAGCTTAAAGAAGTGCCTCTAGAACGATTTGCAAACTACTTTTTCGAATTACCATAGAGATGGAACGATGCAAAATGTTCGATGTTACTCTATTAAAGTTAATCGTATCGTGAGGAAATTTGTTAGTTGTGTATTTTTTTTTCTCTTTTCTTGTGCTCGTGGTTTTGAAAGAGTAAATATTAAGCGATTGGGAATAAAAATAGGTGAAGCATGTGTGTGCATGGGAAATTTAAATCCTATTGCTTATTTATTTATTTACTATAAGGGAATTTTTTATTTATAAAATTCTGCCATTATGAAAATATCATTGTAAAATAAATCACAATTTATTTAGTTACTTATTTTCCTTTATTCAAAATTTTTATTTTTATTTCAGTATCAAAAAGTCCGAAAGTCATGAAATATGTGGATTTTTCAAAGTTTTTTTTCAACGAAATTTTCTTATTAGAAAGTTCAATAGTTTGCATATGCAGCTTAATTATTCAACATGCTAACAAAATAATTAGAAAAATACCTATTTTAAATAATATTTATTTTAAAAAATGGGTCGATTGGCAAGAAATGAAAATGTACGGTCTTATTTCGTTAAAAAAATAAAAACTGTTAAACATGAATAAACACACCAATGTTGATTCTCGGTCCTTAAAATATAAATTAAAATATTTCTAGTTATATAATACTATAACTATACTAATATTTCACTATTTTTGAGAATATAACAAAGTTGTGGCACACTAGTAGATGTTTTTGAGCCAGTTAAACCATACTATGGCGTAAATACGGTGCTAACTTCAACCATATTATCATATAAGATTTGGGTTTTTTTCAAGATTTGGGCAGGTTTGGATACTAGACATTTTTGATTTTGTTGAAATTTTTAGAATATGTTCTTTCAGTAAAACTACTATGCAGGCTCTTCTTTACTTTATTTTTGCGGAAATTGTTTCTCTCTTTACGTTTTGGGATACCAAAGCTTAAGATACTCTGGAATTTTGAAAAAAAAAAAAAACATCCATTCTTGAATACTTTTTGTGAAATGAGTGAACTACGGCACTGACCATTATTTTGAGTTCTATTGCTTGCACATTAACTATAACAGAAATACTTCAAGTGGTCCGTTGCATCGAAGGACAAAGATATTTCAAAAATTTTCTTGAGAAAATTCTCTTAAAGTTAAAGCTTCGCGCGCAGGTCGTTGGGCTACCAAAGCGTAGGAGCCATCCCCTCTGAAGAGGATCAAAATTGTGATGGCATGTCTTCGGATCATCCTTAGGGACGTTTCAGACCGTCGCTTTAGTGCGACGTAACTAAAATACCTACTTACCTTAAAGTTAAAGAGTAAAAATCTACTTTTTCCACTATTTAACCACAAAGGTATATATTTTTATGAATACATAAATCAATAAACGGTAGTAAAAAATCAATATAAGTAGTGTACAATACGAAAAAAAAGGATCACTCTAAATAACTTATGATTTTTAATAATCGAATTTTCAAGTTCTAAGACTCAATTTTAATGTTTCGGGGGGGGGAGGTAATCTTAAACAGGCTAATTATGGGCAGAAGATATTCTAAGTTATGAAATCAGACACTAAAACGTACTATCTCTCAATAAATATAATAATTTTTTTCGATGAATTCGGATTATTAACCCTAAAAATATAGGGGATACTCGCAATCAGATAAATATGGTCCCCAATAGTTTGCTCAAGAGAATGGTATAAATTTTGGGCCCCTTAATATTAATTTTACTTTTTGCGTATTATCTCGAGAAATCATAATCATATCGTAATCATATCTCGAGAAATTTTTAAGAAAACTAAAAAAAAAATTCACACAATTTTAAACTTCCTTTATCCAAAGATATTTCCCATCAAAAATTAACTTTTCGGAAATTATTTTTATTATTTTATTTGATAATAGTGCACGAAAATTTAAGTTTAAAGGTATACAGTTTTTTTACATCATTTTATAGAATGTAATTTTACATTGCAAAATACAAAACTTTAGCGAAATCGGCCGAAAATCTTCTGAGAAATCAAATTTTAAATAAATGGTATTTTAATATTTGAGGAGAGTAATATGCGGAGAGAAATTAAATTTTGTGTATAAAAAAGATGTAAAAAAAAACCTAATTATTGTTAATAAGTTGGCAATACAAAGTGTAATATTATAGTTTAATAATTTCAAACATCTTGAGATTTAAATGCCGTTGGTATGAATAAAAATATGTGTTTAAAATTACTCTTGATGGTTAAATCTAGCATTTGTTTAATTTTTGATAAGTATGTTAGCTTGGATACATGTTTCTAGCGCGCGTTTTTATTTCATCATTAAAACTACGAGCTTAATGAGCTTCATTTAGGTATTTTATTCTTCACACGCTTTGCAACTATCCTGTTCCCATGGCAGCGCAATGTTGAAACAATAAAGGAAAAAAACACACTTTCTTATGCGTGAAAGCCGTCGTAGTGGCTCAGGAGATAGAGCACTCGTCTCCCAATGAAGTAACCTGGGTTCGAATCCTAGTGATGGCTGGTAGATACGAATTCCACATCCGGCTCGCGCCGACCACAGTGGTAACGTAAAATATCTTCAGTGGTAGATGAATCTTGGGTCAGAGTCTCTCTGCCACAAGACTAACCGTGGGAGGTTTTTGCGGTTTTCCTCTCCATGTCACTCAAATGCGGGTTAGTTCCATCAAAAAGTTTTCCACGAAGGCAAGTTTCTCCCAATACTCGATCAAGGATCTCCCTTGCCTTCTGGATTGGGTTCAAAATTACAAGGCTAAGGAGTTTAACATTGGTAGTCCGTAAACTCAAAAATTAAGTCGACTGTTCAACGTCGGTAATAAAATATTACACATGAACAAATTAACATAAAGATATGGAAAACATCACAAAAGGATTAAAAATTATTAACAATCACTAACAAAAACACCGTACCACTCGGTGAAGCCATTCAAAAGATATTAGGGAAAGTTTAATCTGTAAAAAATGTTTTCACCAATTAAATTTCGTATTTTTGATATTGCGCACGAACTAAATGACACCGGAAAGTGGTCATTGTTTACAAACCACCTCATAAAATTTTTCAAGCTGTAGAACAAATAATAGATCAAATTCGGTGCTCCTGTTCTCGAGTTATTAACGAAAATACACGCACTACGCTTTTACATAGATAGAGATACTGTAGAAACCATGGTTTTTTGTGGAATGTTAGAAAACTCATACGAAGAATAAATAAAGCGAAACAAAATACTTAAAGGTTGAAAGTTGAAAAAAGAAACAAATAAATGCATGAAGAAATAAAATGTTCGATGTATTCACCTCCTCAAGTAGTCTTTCCAGCCTATAATCGAACGATGCAGCCTGGGGATAAGGAACATTGGGCGAAGAGGGATCATTAGTCAAAGGTAGCCCCTTGTCTTGCGATGTAAGCTGCGACAGAATAGTCCGCTTGAGGGCGCTGCTTCCGATACCAGACGACCTGCTGCCATCTGAAAAAGACAAAGATTTGGTTATTTTTAATAGCGAATATTGCTAAAATGTTCTAAAAGAAATATTGGAATACTTTAAAGAAACGATACAATGAACAAACTACTTTTAAGAAGAAGTTGACTAAGTTTGAATCGTATATTTGTTGCAAAAGGAATGTAATTACTAATGCTTAAGTTAAATACAAATATAAAATATATCCCATGGGCGTGCTATGAGAAAAATGAATCCATGAATAACAACGATTGTTAATATTGGCAGAATAACAACTATGGAATTGCAACGCAGAGATCAGATAAAAGTAGTGACAAAACAAGTAGTTATAATCAATTAGTACTGCCATAAGTCAGTCGGAAATTAACGAGTTTCCAAATTTATTAGAGTTTATTTTACGACAAACTAGTTGAATACCCATCCTTTGTACAGGGTTAAAAAAATGTAAATAATTATTAAGCAGGTATTGATAACACTATGAAATTATGCACAAAACTGAAAGATATATAGATACAATTAATTAAGTTATAAAAGTCATTTTTTTCGTAATTATAACTTCCCAATGATTGTACTTTATTAAGTTTTTTTAAAAAACAACATGTTTTTGGAAGTCCATCCTATCAACATAAATACTAACTGTGTTGAGTATCATTCGGCATAGTGACATTGCTCGAGTTTCTTATTTGAAGATTTTAATATTTCAAATACTTCGTTTCATCTTTCCTCTGATTTAAGGGTCCTAAAACTTCAAAGTAAGAAAAAAAAGCACCATTTATATAGGCTTCATAATTATTGATTCATTCTACATTTTAATTACAATTGCTCAGTTTTTTTTATCGCTGAATGCTTCACTTTGGACAAAGAGGTAGGTCAAAATCCTCGTTTAAGAAATCGGATATAGTTTGATATTAGCATTTGCAAACATGAATATAGCTCAAAAAGTGTGTTTAAGAAATTGGATATACATTGTTATGAGAATTCTAAAACATGAATATAGCTTTGAAAGGAGCATTTAAGAAATTAGATATAGATTAATATGAGCATTGGAAAACGTGAATATAGCTTAAAATGCACGTTTCAAAAATTCGATATAGATTGATGTGAGCTTTCTAAAATATGATTATATCTCAAAAGGTATATTTTAAAAATTGGATATAGATTGATTTATAAGCATTCAAATACATGAATAGAGCTCGAAATGGGAGTTTAAGAAAACGATCATATCTTGATATGAGCGCCTTAAAAAATGAATATAACTCTTAAATGCGAATGGGTATAAAGCACATTATAGACGCATACAATTCCAACTATGGCTAAAATAAAAAGTTTCTCGACGATTTTAAATGAGTTTTAAATAAATGAATTTTGACCGAAAAGAAATTCTACTTCCACCATGTTAATATTATTTGAATTTTTTTAATTTCATACATGCATTAAAATGCATTCAATTTAATCTTATTACCAAATTTCATGTTTTAATGTTGAAAAAGGTAGTTTAAAAACTGTTTGTTGATACAAATTTAAACGATGTCTCATAAAAGTTTAAAACTGCTAGAAAACTTTTAGAAGTTTAAAATTTGGTAACTGCAAGTTCAATAGAAAACATTTCAATAAATAAAATGAAACAAAAATATTAATTATTTACTGAACAAATAAAAGAAGAAAAAAATCTTTCATATATGTTCTTCGCAGTTTAGCATCATTCCTTTTCTGTCTGAAGAGTACATTTTAGAGTAAAAACAAAGTGAAAGCTATTCCTGTATTTTTAAAAAAAGATATACAAATATTAGGGGAAAAAAATCTAAGAGTACATTTAACTTCCTTTTTACTTTTGCAATAAAAACAAGAAACTGTTCGAAGATTTCCCCAGTGATGCACTTTTCTAGACAAGTTGATTAGTTTTTTATGCGATTGTTTTTGATACTTTCTAAATCACTTCAAAAGTCACTCAATACAAAGAAGGCTGCTGTATTTCAATGAAACTCTACGATTTATTTGATGGAGTTTGTCGTGATTTTACGTGGAAAAAAATCCAAATAGTTGATGATACTGGAGCTGTATAGTATTCAGCTATGACAAAGTGCCTTGGCTTGTTTTTCTTTCGTAATATATATTTTTTTTAAATAAAAATAATATTCTTTATTATTAGCGTTTATATTTTATTTCATGCGAAATAATACATTTTCGACGCTAGTGAGAACGGACATTGGAGGATCAGAAAAAATAGAGATTTGTGGTAAATATAAGGAACCAGATCTTGTAGCAACTTTAAGAATGAAAGGAATCTAATGGTTTGAACAGCGATACTAAGAATGAGTTCTCAAATAAGTTTCCAAGGATAATTAGACACAAAACTAGAAAATTCAAGATCTAGAAGAAGAACAAGTTAAAGAAACAAGTTTTTATTTTATTTTTCAACCGGCGTAGAAAAAATAATAAAACGCAATCGAAATTCGACATATCTATTGAGGAAGGATGAAGTATAAAACTTCAAAACTTGTTTGATTGCCCGAGAACAATTTTATTTTGTAACCAACGTTGAACAGCTCAATACCCGATTTTGAGTTTACGACTATCAATGTTCAACACCATAGCCTTTTAATTTTGATCCCAATACAGAAGACAAAAGAACTCCTGGGTCAAGCATTGGGACAAGCTCTCCCTCGTGCAGGACTTTTTGATGGGACTAACCTGCATTTTCGTTATATGGAGAGGAAAATCACGAATTTCTCTAATTTAGCCCAACGAAATTGTTCCAAAGACAAGGGAATTCTAACCCATGATTCGTCAAATGAGCTTTTTCCTAATTATTGGGGGGGGAGAGGCGGGGAACTGGCATATCACTGACATCCGGTGTTCAGCTAATTATGAAAACTATGACTGCTATGCATTAAAAATAGTTTTCAAACTTTAAAATCCCTTAATATAAAAATGATATTTAATAAATATTTTTTCATTTTTTGGGGGCCAGCGGATATTTGATATTCGAAAAGTTGTTGATAGCTAATTTGTTATTCAAAGAGTTTTGAATTTTAGTTTCAACAAATTTCTTGAATGAATGAGAAATTCTTTAAAAGGAATTTGCAATGATACAGTCTCCGTAATAAAATATGCAGCGAGCTAAAGCTACTTAAAATGACAAAATTAGTTTCTTCTTAAATGAATGTTAGCTGGAAGTAATGAAAAATTCACGAGTTTTGAATTATTTTTAGTGCAAGTTACAGGTTAATGAATAATACATTAGGTAATTATTTTTTCTAGGTACATTTCATAGTTCACTAAATTTACGGCAAACTAAATTTTATTTTTAATATTTAAGCTACTATTTCGAAACAAAATTTATGTAACACAAGATACTTGTTATTCATCATATCAGAAAATAAAATATATCTCAATTAAATAAATGTTTACATAAATATATAAAAAACAGGATATTTATGATTAAAAAAGAAGTTGACTTAATAAAAATTCCTGAAAACAAACTATGGATTTTCCATAAAGTAAAATTAATTTCTTTAAACAATTTTGGCAAAAATGAAAACTTCAATTGTTCCCAAAAATTGTTTCTTCTGTTCCCAAAATGTGAAAAAAATTGCTTTAGTAGATAAAATAGTTCATTGGTTGTATGCTTACATTTTTTTTACATATTTTATCAATGATACTTCTTTAAGGATGCTTTCTGAGGATGATTTTTATTTATATCTGAACATCTAATGCAAAACAAATTGAAAGCATAAATATTTTAATTGTCTATATAAAAGAATATTGTTAAAATTTCTAATATATGAAAAGAATTTATATTAACCCTTTACTTACGGTGTACTATGATGTACCATCACATTTGGTTCACATGTTGTACCAGCCGTAAGCGAAAGGCTAAGCGTTTTAACTAATATGTAAGTGTATAAATGGTATAAATCAGCCTATAGTAATAGAATATTATTTATGTAATACGACATATTAAATATTAACAAGTATTGTTATATTTAATATTAACAAGTATTAACAGAAAGAGTAATTGTGTCAAAGTGCAGATAACTTAGTGAATGAATAATTTCAAGTTGTGGTTAATTTAATTAAATGTCATTTACGAATACAGAAATGTGATTAAATCATAACTATATTTAATCACCTTTTATTGTCACAAATGTTATTGTAAAATAATAATGACAAATTGTTCACTAACAAACTTTCATCGTTTGGCGTAATAAAGCAACTCATTTCAGCAATTTCTGCTAATTTCTCGTATATTATTTGCAAAAAGATGCCTTCAAACAAATTTTTTGCGCATGGTAAAACAAAGCCCGTTTTTGAAGTTCTAGTACGTTCTCTCTAAAATTTCCATAAAAACGCACTGTCAAACAACTATATTATAAAATATAGCCAGTTTCAGCAATACCGATCGATTTTTCTTGAAATCTTCACGAAAATATGTTATGACATAACATCTTGCGATACTGCAAAATGGAAAACTATTTTAATCCTTTTAATAGTTTTTTTAAAAATCATTAATGAAAACAGGTTATCAAATGAATATTTTGTTCATTGTAAAATAGAGCCCAATTTGGAAGATCTAGTTTATATGTCTTAATTTTTAATAAAAACATACATGGTTATAAAATGAAGTCCATTTCAGCATTTTCAATTTACTTTTCGTAAATTCTTCGCAAATATATGCTACGAAATGATCATCTTGCGATATTACTAAATGCAACCCATTGCTGAAAGAAAACACAAATAATTAAATTCGAAAAGGATAAAACTTCTTTGAAAAAACGCGCTAAGAAGCAGCAGAAATTTCAGAAAAAAGTATCAATACAAGAAACGAATGAAATAAAAATAAAAATATGACCACCGAAGCCGACGTCTTCAGGGGGTACCGGCCTCGGTAGCCATTAAAAACAAAACCATTTCTATTTGAGGGAGAAGCAAATGCTTAAAAAATCTCCCTCAGTACCCCGATGGTTTTGTATAGAGGTCCAGGAAAAACAAGATACATTCAAAATAA